GCGCCATCCCTGCCTAATAGATTATTATTATTATTATTAATTCTCCGAAAACTGTATATAAGCCAAATTAATAATAAACTAAATAACAAATAATGCATTACAATACAAAGTTATATGCCAATGCAAAATAGGCCCTATTAAATGTGTTGCAACATTCTGATGAACTATACAATAAAAACCTTAGCAAATTGAAGACAATGACAATTGTGAGTCAACAATTTTGTTTATAATGCTCACACAGTGGTTTAAAAAAATAATATAGTAAAAACTGAATTATACACAAAATCTAAAAAGTTATAATGAATTTAAACATTCTCTATTTATTGTATGTATTCCTTTAATTTAGAATGTGAATAACAATGATATAATAATAATAATAATAAATAATAATAACAAATAATAATAATAATAACATTAACAATAATAATAATAATATTAATAATAATAATAATAATAATTTTAATATTAATATTATTATTGATAAAAAAAAAACCACAATATATCAGTCACCGATTTTACGTGCCATTTGCAGTTTTTTGGTCTTTGGTTTTTAGGGTTTTTTGGAATTGATCACTCAGCAATTATGCTGATTTGGGAGACCACTGTTTGGACTAGTGGTGTACAACGCCTATGCGCTCTCGTGTGGCAGTCCTTGGGCACCCGACTTCTAGGGGCCCCATGTGGTCCCTACCCATGATCGTCTGTGTAGCACCGGACCTTACACAAGAGAGATTTGTTTATACATAAAGACATTAACTATAGGATCAGGGAACAGGCTGGATAGGCCTATATCATATTATATTAAGTGACAAAATAAAGAGGAGGAGGAGGCCGCCGAGCCGGGTCCCCCTAAATTTTTCAAAGATATTTTTAGATACAAATAAAATTGTCTATATGAGTGCCATTTCCGGCATCTGCTGAGGTGCCATAATCATAATTTTTCCTACCTCAGCCGTGGTGTTGAGGTGGTATACGATACGAGAACAATTTTATTGCAATCTACTTTGTAAATAAATTGAAGTTGAACAATCAAAAAATTAATTATCTAACAATAAAACAGCAAAGCGTTAAACATTGAAATTAAATATAAAAACAATGTCCGTCCGACTATGCAGGGAGTACTTTGCATCCTTTGAACAACTCGGTATTAATTATAAAGTTTTTTGATCTGTTAATATCAACTTTGGGTAGATTAAATTCGGTGCTTGTCCTCAAGTTATGTGATACATTACGTAATGAAGGGAGTAAATCATTTAATCTGTGATTGGAATTTTTAAATTTTTTGAAGCATTCCCTGCACAGTCGGGTTCGTCTGTCCTCCAACATGAATACTTAGAATAAAACGTGCCTCATCATAATTACACCATGGGAGAATGATCTGAAATGCACTTTCTGTATGTGTTCAACTGATGTAATTTGTTCGCGGCGGGTCAGATTCGTAGCCTACACTGGCTCAGCATATCCAACTGCTGGCAGTAAAATACTACAATAAAAATGAACTACAGTACTGTAATTCAGTAACACCACGTTGGCATTATAAGATTTTAAAAATTGACGGAAATGATAGGCCTGCGCCTACATTGTCGGAAATTCCGGGAGATTTTCCAACTTAAATCCACCATGGTATTACTCGCTCTGTGTGTCTTGGAAGAAAAACTTGGCTTTGTGACCCATGATGTCTGCACGGTCTGATTTTACTTAGAACTTGCAATGATCTCTACAAATACCTGCAAAAAAACAAGACCCTTTATTTTATTTTTTGCTGGATTTTGCTATAGACTACACGCGCTCTTTTTACTCGTGTGGACATCAGCCGGGACAACCCCTCCCCCCTCGTCTGCAAATCTTTGCGTCTCGAGTTGATGAACTTTGGTCAGATTAACTCATATTCATCTGCAGAAGTATATCGTCTAGTAGATTTTTGTTATAGAATGTGGATGTAATGACATTTTAGTATTTTTTTTCTCTTTTAACACAAATTAACAAACGAAGACACGATCAGCGTCTTGAGACGGAAGACCAAATACCCAACTAAAATATAGACCTACAAGTAACGACTGGGATTTTATCTAGATCATTATCAACGGATGTTTAAACTAAGCCTATAAGAAAGTTGTTCTAAAAATGTCGGTGTACAGAATAATATGAAAATTAGACTTACAATGTATGTGAAAACAAAACAGGGCTTCTTCTCATTGCCATAATGTGATGTTCAAAATTAAAGTAAAAAGAGAATAATTAACAAAGTAATAAAGTAAAAAATACATGACAAACAAAAAATCATGAAGAGGATTATGAAGTAAAAGAAAACATGGAAACCAACTTAACGTCAGTGAGACTCCAACGTGGTCTGTAATGGGTAGTATCGGGAATAATGTGGAAAGTTCTGCCCATCGCACATAGCCCGACCCCGCGCATTTCAGTTCATCTTGCGCAATTTCATAGGTTGAGGGTGAAAATGGTTTATACATATCACGGTAATGTTGTGTTGCATAGCTGCCGCTAGTTTGAAAAACTTATGAAAACGCAAAAAAATTAATTACCAGATTATTAATATTTCAAATAATGTAGAATTACGTCATTTGTTAATATGCACATTTTTGATATGGTGTTTACTTGGAAAACGTTTGAAGAAGATCCAAGCATGGAAATGAAACTGGCAGACAGAAAACCATGTGCAAAAACATAGATAAAGGCGATTTTAAGAAAAAAAAAAAACAAATCAAAACAAAAACATGGCTTTTCCACGGTTGCGCGGGCGAGCCATTAATTATAATTATATGATAAATCGAAATTCTACAACAAAAATTATAAAACTTCAAGCTCTTTTATTCTACAAGGAATAACAATAAATAACATGCAATGATGCAATGAATAAATGAAAAAATTGGTCAAAGGTAAATTATACCGTATTTCACAAGTCCTTAAAATAGACGATTTTATTCAGCAACAGAGGCTCTATTTATTGACCAATGGCAATCGTTGTAATAGATGAGTACATATAACTGACTTTATTTCAGGAGGCAGACGATTGCTGTTTGTCATTGCTTGAAGATCGTTATGACAAATTTAAGGTAAGAACAACCTTTTATATTTATTATTGGTAGAGAAATCGAAAATGGTTATGAAACATGAATGATATACACCCAATTTAAACGGTGGATGGTTTATTCGTTGAAAATATCATTTATTCATCAAAAAAAATCTTTGATAGAATTGTAGTTCCGGGATAGTGTTCTCTGCTAGTTATACCTTATTTTGTTAAGGCTGAAGAATCTAGTCAACAATCTAGAATGTCATGAAGAAACTCAACTTTTCCTTAAATTTTGATACATGTCCTTTCATAAATTAGCTTCTACATTAAATATCAGTTAAATAACTGATGATAGTCCCACTTGGGACAGCAAATTCTCCGTCAGATGTTTTTCGTGATGTGCTGCGCTGTATAAACAGTATATTATTTCTAGGTTGTTAGCTTGCTGAGATAGTACAATAGGCCTATGTGAAAGTTATTGAATACGGAACCACACTCCGGGAACATTTGTGTAAATGATATATGGTAGCCCTCATAAAGTTAACCATTTAAATCGAAAAGTATTAGGAATCTTTCAAATATATCACGAAAGTTTGAACACATACTGATAGGATTACTCTATATAACGCTATATAAATATAATTATGTGTTAATAAATTATTTGACAATTATAAAATGTGGTGGGTGTGGTAGCGTAAAAAGAGAATGTGTCCACTTTTATTTTAATTCATTTTAAAATTTACTTTGCATGGAGAGATTTAACCAACCGGGTTGTAATTTCCAAATAATGAACAGAATTCTTTCGTTTTTTTTTTATATTTAGAATACAAATGAATCCGTCTTTGACATCATGTACACCCTTAATTTGTTTGATAAGTCTATTAACTTGCCTACCAGAAAGCTTGTCTACGACTACAACACCTGAAAAAACCGTCCATGAAACTTGTAATATGTGCTGCCACGGGCCGCCTGGGCAACCTGGGATTCCTGGAGTTCCAGGAACATCTGGAGGACCATCTGGTAGTAAGGGTGACAGAGGTGAGTTTGTCCGAGGTGAAAAAGGAGATAGAGGCGAAAAAGGAGAACCGGGAAATGAAGGTTCAAAAGGTAATAAAGGAAACGAAGGATCTCCAGGTAAACAAGGCCCGCTTGGACAAATAGGACCACAAGGACTACAAGGGAACAATGGATCAAAAGGAGAAAAGGGCGAATCACCGGAAGTCCTTAAATCTGCGTTTACTGCAGTACGCACCACTCACGTACCCACTTCAGAATCAATCATTCTATTCACGTCAATGGAGATTAATGTCGGAGAAGACTTCGATAAGAATACCGGAAAGTTTACATGTAGAATTTCGGGTTTTTATTACTTCATGTTTAGTTTTTTGTCGGCAAGTGGTTATGATCCGTATGTTAAAATGAAGTTAAATGGGCGAGATATCACAACCGTATATCATAGTACCACTACTAGTAATGATCAGTTAAGTTCTGGAGCAACAGTTCAACTGAATGTCGGCGATGAAGTCTGGCTGACGAACGAAGGTAGACAAGTCTATGGTCATTCAAGCCACCCTTTTACCTTTACTGGGTTTATGGTATACGATATGAACTAACAAATGATGTACTTTGCATTTTTGATGATTGTAGATGTGCAAATATAGTTCTGTAGATTTTTTCGGAGAGAGTCTTGATTGATTACAAATAATAATAATAATAATAATAATAATAATAATAATAATGATAATAATAAAAATTAATAAATAATAATAATAATAATAATAATAATATTACTATTGATAGGCCTAATTATAATAATAACAATAATAATAATAATAATAATAATAATAATAATAATAATAATAATAATAACAATAACAATAACAACAATAATAATAATAACAATAACAATATGTGACACTTATTATGAAGTGCTCTATGCCGGCAAGCTGACTCAAGAGTGCATACACTCAATCATATTAAACAATACCATACACCCAAGAAAATCCATTTTATGCAGCCACATCCCTTAAAAAATGTCTGCTATTATGAAGCCCGTGATTTCTATGTAAGTGGGGGAGGGGAAGGGGGTGGGGAGGTTTTCACCTAAATTATAATTGAAATAAGGAAACAGTAGGCCTAAAAAATAAGGTGAAAATATAGCTAATTGATTTAATAGTTTGAAATCGAATTGAGTAAGCAAATACGTCAAGACAGGTGTTTGGAATTTGCTCAGATGAACACGTCATTTGTTGCTCTATGTAGTACGATACAGATCGCATGAACAGTAGCTTTACGTAATAAAAAAATGGAATAATATACAGTAAGAATTATCTATTAGGAATATAGAGGCTTTAAAAACTATTCGTGATTGGAAATTATGAACTTGAATACCAGAACTTTTTCAATTCAACATAATCGTAATTATATATTTAGAATACAATTATAATTTGGTTTCTAATTAATGAAATTAGAGAATGCAATTTATTGCATTTTATAGGTCTATATTATTATTATTATTATTATTATTATTATTATTATTATTATTATTATTATTATTATTATTATTATTAGGCCTATTATTAGGCCTATTATTATACGAATCATTACGAACATTCATGACATGATGAATGTTGCTTGAAGAATAAAACATTGAATTGAAATATTGTAGTGTACGGGTTTCTGCCATTCCGTCCAACGTATCATGTGCGCATGTTTTGCAAAAACTTAACAACTGACCATCAGAAGTACATTAGGAAGAAGGGCGGGGCTTAGCCAAACGGCAGTCATGGTATATTACACTATTGAAGCAGACTCTTTCGTGATCTCTTAAAAGTTGTTGTATACATGCCTGAAGTCTACATGATAATGATAATTGATGCCACTAGGCCTGCCGTCTGCGTTCATGTGATCGGTGTATGTTTGCGATCACCACTGTCTGCATTCATTTGATTAAGTACGATTACACGAAGTAGAAATGTATACGTTGACATTATATATATAAGTATATTATTCGATTACATCACATGTGCACTTCCTCAGCGATAACACCTATAATACGTGGTTCAGAGATTATTGTAAGATTCAAGCTTTGCGCATGCGTAAAATCAGTGAGCATCCGCTTTTCCGAAATCGTGACTTGTTTTTTTCATCATATTGGTGCAAAGTTTAAACCGTTGATAATTAATTTTCCAGTTACACACAGACATATTATAATAATTATCGCTATGTTAAAGATACCCAGCAAAAACGTACATTCACCTTGGCGGAACTGACGTAACTCCTTCTCTCCTAATAGCAGGGGTGGCGTCAGCGGGAGAGGGAAAGGGCCCCACAATTTGTAGGGGAGAAAATCTATTAAATAAGCCTTTGAAACTTCTAATTTGTCATATTTTCCATGGTTTCACCCCTCGATCACTTTGAAATAATATTGAGTGACGCCCGACCACGCCCACTTTGCTCTCGTCGGGGACATCGGCCCACCCGTCAGGAAAATAATGGCGCCATCCCTGCCTAATAGATTATTATTATTATTATTATTATTATTATTATTATTATTATTATTATTATTATTATTATTATTATTATTTCTCCGAAAACAGTGTTATAGGCCAAATAAGTAATGCATTACGATACAAAGTTACATCCCAATGCAAAATAGGCCCTATTAAATGTGTTGCAACATTCTAATGAACTATACAATAAACACCTTAGCAAATGGAAGACAACTGTAATTTGAGTCAACAATTTTGTTTATATTGCTGACACAGTGGTTTAAAAAAATAATATAGTAAAAACTTAATTATACACACAGTCTAAAAAGTTATAATGAATTTAAACATTCTCTATTTATTATATGTATTCCTTTAAACTTAGAATGTGAATAACAATGATATAATAATAATAATTATTATTATTATTACCGATTTCTTGTGCCATTTGCAGTTTTGGTCTTTGGTTTTAGGGTTTTTTGGAATTGATCACTCAGCAATTATGCTGATTTGGGAGACCACTGTTTGGACTAGTGGTGTACAACGCCTATGCGCTCCTGTGTGGCAGTCCCCTGGGCACCCGACTTCTAGGGGCCCCAAGTGGCCCCCATGATCGTCAGTTAACCACCGGACCTGACTCAAGAGAGATTTCTTTATACATAAAGGCATTGACATTGACTATAGGAACAGGGAACAGGCAGGATAGGCCTATATCATATTATATCAAGTGATAAAATATAGAGGGGGAGGAGGCAGCCGAGCTGGGTCCCCCTAATTTTTCAATTTTTTTTAGATAAAAACAAAATTGTATTCAAATTTTTAAGTCTATATGAGTGGCATTTCCGGCATCTGCTGAGGTGCCATAATCATAATGTTTCCTACCTCAGCCCCAAACCGTGGTGCTGAGGTGGTATACGATACGAGAACAATTTTATTGCAATCTACTTTGTAAATAAATTGAAGTTGAACAATTTCACACAAATCAAAAAAAAATTAATTATCTAACAATAAAACAGCAAAACGTTAAACATTAAAATTAAATATAAAAACAATGTCCGTCCGACTGTGGAGGGAGTACTTATCATACTTTGAACAACCCGGTATTAATGATAACGTTTTTTGATCTGTTTGTATCACATTTGGGTAAAGGAAATTCGGTGCTTGTCCTCAAGTTATATGATACATTACGTAATGAAGGGAGTAAATCATATAATCTGTGATGGGAATTTTTAAATTTTTGAAAGTATTCCCTGCACAACCGGGTTCGTCTGTCCTCCAACAGCGGAATACTTAGAATCAAACGTGCGCAGCCTCATCATAATTACACCATGGGAGAATTATCTGAAATGCTATTTCTGTATGTGTTCAACTGATGTAATTTGGGTCAGATTCGTAGCCCACACTGGCTCAGGATATTCAACTGCTGGCCGTAAAATACTACAATAAAAATGAAATAATTCAGTAACACCAAGACTGGCCTTACGCATTTGTCTCAGGAAATAAATTCTAGAGTCATAGGTGTATGCAAGGGGGGTTGGGAAGGTCGTACGACTCCCCCCCCCCCATTTTTAAAGGTCCACATTTTCCAGACATTTTTCTCTAGGGCCGTAATGAGTAATAAATCTATAATTCTATTTTTCTTCCCAGTCATAATTTAACGCACGTTGGCACTATAAGATTATAAAGATGGACGGAAATGATAGGCCTGCGCCTACATTGTCGGAAATTCCGGGGGATTTTCCACCTTAAATCCACCAGGGCATTACTCGCTCTGTGTGTCTTGGAAGAAAAACTTGGATTGTGACCCATGATGTCTGCAAGATTTGATTTTACTTAGAACTTGAAATGGGCTCAACAACTTACCTGCAAAAAAAGACCCTTTATTTTATTTTTTGCGGGATTTTGCTGTAGTCCTACACACGCTCTTTTTTCTCGTGTGGACATCAGCCGGGTCAAGACCCCCTCCCGCCCCTCGTCTGCAAATCTTTGCGTCTCGTGTTGATGAACTTTGGTCAGATTAATTCATAATTCATATTCTGCAGAAGTACATAGTCTAGTAGATTTTTATTATAGACTGTAGATGTAATGACATTTTAGTATTTATTTTTCTCTTTTAACACAAATTAACAAACGAAGACACGATCACCATCTTGAGACGGAAGACCAAATATCCAACTAAAATATAGACCTACAAATAACGACTGGGATTTTATCTAGATCATATCAACGGATGTTTAAAATAAGCCTATAAGAAAGTTGTTCTAAAAATGTCGGTGTACAGAATGAAAATTAGACTTACAATGTACGGTATGTGAAAACAAAACAGGGCTTCTCATTGCCGTAATGTGATGTTCAAATTAAAGTAAAAAGAGAATAATTAACAAAGTAATAACG